GGTAAGTGTGGATGCCAAGTGAGTGTGAAGATGAAATGAAAAAGATTGACTATCTGGTAAAAAAAACATATGGAGCAGATGCAAGGTGGAATGGTAGAGCACAAAACTGAAAAAGTTGGTTGTCATGTATGAAACAGAGATAACACTTTGAAGACGATCAGGATGCAAAGGTAGGCATCTGCAACATCAAATTTTGTCATTCATAATCTGGGTAAAATGAGCCACCAAAGAAAAAGAAATGACTCCATTGTAAACCGAGAAGACTGGAGGAAGCAATTTAGATGAGAAAGGTTGATGACAGGTCACCAATCACCAGTCTTTTTCATTACTACCAAAATCCGAGAATAAAAACCCACAAGACAGGAGGTGACATGCTCTATGGCTTTTTTGTTCAGAAGATCCTGTATGGCTTGTGCTCGATGGGATAAAGCTAAAGTGTAATCAGAGGTGTGTTTTGGAATTACAAATATTACTAAAAGAAGATTTTTTAAGATATTCTACAAAAAAAATTAATAGTTATGTACATTTTTCTATTTCTTAATTTTAAATATTTCATTGCACTATATGTTGATGATAATATCTACAGTTTGTGATATGGTAGAGAAAATGAAAAATATAAATATTTACCTTAAGAAACTTTTGATATTCACTCAAAAACTGTAAAGTGAAGAAAAGCATTTCTATACTTAAAATGAAAATCACGTTGTGCTTGAACTATTCAGTGTCTGAGTGTATATAACTACAATAGATAACATATTTCTAGTAGAAATAATGTCATTCTTTGCATCTTGGTAGTATGAAAAGTTCTTGACTCACGCTAACCTTCCATATATAGAAAGAATCTAGGTTAATTGTTCAGTTTACACATTCTTCTTTCAAGTTCCATAGGGCACATCTGGAGAAAGGAGAAATACTTTTCTCGGCCAATAATACTTAGTTCAGCTAGATGTTCATAATCAATGGATAGAGCCCTTTTGGAAGTAAATTCTCTTAACTGTTATATCAAAATTGGCGGGAAGAATTATATAGCGAACTAGTCAAACTGCTTTTAGCATTATTTCTCACCTAGAAATACATTAGTGAGATAGAAAGTTGCATTGTATTTAAGTTTTAGTTTTATATTTTACTTAATTATGTATTATTAATGTTTTAAGATGCAAATTTGACAGGTTTAATAATTTTTATATACATATGCCAACACCTGCTCGATTCACAAGAGATTATGTAATATAAGAATGCCACCACATTCTGGCAAGGGCTGAAATATCTCTGCCCAATATCCGGAAATATTGGTTGTGGATGCCCATTAACGTGTGGTGTGATAAATAACAGTACTAAAGGACAGGAAAGGATAATAAATTATTAAAATAAGTTATATGTAAAAATGAAAAATGTAAAGCCATGCAAAAAAAAGATGTTTTAAGATTATTTCACCAAATATTAAAAGGTATGTATATTTTTCCAATGTCTTAACTTTAAACATTTCATGGTAATGTACTACAGACTATATAGTATAAATTGACAATAATAGCTACAGTTAGTGATATAACAGAGAAAGTAAAAAAAGATATATAAATATTTAACTGAAAAAGAGCTTTTGATATTCACTTATTTTAAACCTATAAGTTGGAAAAAAAGTATTTTTTTTATACTCGTGTTGTTTTGTTGGTTACGCGAGAGGCTACTTGGGTACACTCCCGTAAACTTACTGTTAATAGATCAATTTATTGATCTTCCTATAAAAGTATCAAATTTAATTTTACTGCTAGTAATATAAAAAAAATATTCAATTTTTGTTTACATAATAATTAAATTCATTTTAATAAACACACTTATAAACAAATAATATACCGGTGTGGCGTAATTATTCAAGTTGTGCTAATTTATAGCTAGTCTTTATTATTATGAAAATGAATTTATAAATAATTTTACAAATCCCAAATTATTGATGATTTAATTAGTTTTAAAAATTCAGTAATAAGTAATTACATTGGTAACATTTAACCTGCAGTTCTATTATATTGGTAACATTTAACCTGCAGTTCTATTAAATTGGTAACATTTAACCTGCAGTTTTACAAAACAAAAGTACCTCTATATCAAATATTGAAGTACTTCACCTAGACTTAGATATTATGATAATTAACAATCATAGTAATATTCATGATAAAAGTGATTTCAGATTTCAAATATATGGACTATATCATCAAACAGTAATGTTCCAAAAAATGCCATACAGAGTATTATATATTCACAACTTCATAGATATTGCAAAATTTGTGGCAACATCCATTTTTTAATATCTAATATAAATATATTAATACAAAAATTGATTTTCAATGGCTTTGATAAGAAAATCTTAATTCAATATTTTAACACATTTTATAATAAATATAAAAAGTATTTACATACATTTCAAAATAATGATATAAATAAAATCATAATATATACAATAAAAAAAATTCTAAAATATATTAGTTGGAGAGGAGATAATTACAATTGCATACTTGGATATTTCTAAATCTTACATAGGTGGACTAATGTAGTTGTATAACCTTCCCTATACGAGACTTACTACTATGTGGATCTCTTTAGAACCATCGAAGTGGCATTACTGGGGAGACCCAGACAGTAGCATGGAATGGTGGAGGATGGGAGCTATACTAATAGCAAAAGGTTGGGCATAGTATAATAGTAACTTAACATATTAGTATTTATGTACAAACATCATGTTGGGGGCTAGAATGTCAATCTCAAAGACAGTTTTGCTGTTTTCTTCCATTTATGTATAGTAGCCTAATTATTATCTTCTTTCTTATTACAGTACTGCCTCATTATAATGCTACCATCGGGTGTCATGTGCACCCGAGAGTGATATAGGTAGGGGAGCGTTACAGCTGTAGTCAAGAAGGCACTCATGCTGAACAAGTACAGATACAACAGACTACTAACTCAAGAAGGCACTCATGCTGAAAAAGTATGGATTCAACAGACTACTAAAGCAATCAACTAAATAAAAAACTGTTTATTTACATAGGGAATATAAATATAAAAAAGAACATAGATAACATAGAATAATATAAGATAAAATATGAATACAAACTTTTTGATATTTCAGAAACATAGCACACTCATGTTCACTTATATACTTAAAGTCTGATACTTTAGTCAGCTTAACGCTACTCTAAACCTGTTGCAATTAACGACATGACATGTCTATTTCCTTCTGACACTGAGCAGTATCTTGGTTTTACCTATAAGCAATTCTTGGAACTTCTTGACCTGTCCACAAAGTTAAACCATTTCCTCTTTAATGATTCCATTTATGACCACATAGATGGAATCCGCACTGGGTCCAATGATAGCCAATAGTTTACTATGCTACCATGAATGCAAATGGCTAGAAAACTGCCCATTTGACTTTAAGCCTGTCTTTTACAAATGCTATATCGATGACACTTTCTTGCTATTTTGAAAATTCAGTCACATTTCCAAGTTCCTTTCTTACCTTAATTCCCAACATCTCTATATGAAGTTCACATCTGAACTTGATATTCACATCTCTGAACTTGATATTCACATCTCTGAGCTTGCACTTGGGTCTTACTGCTTTTTTTCCTTTATTTTGTGACAGTGTAATGACTTTATACTTTGAAGCCACATGGCAATAAGCTAAGCAGTAGATGGTACTAAATTTTTGGGAGCCAAGCACAAGATCAGCGAAATTGAGATTAAACTTGATAGATAGTGTAACCCCAATGCAATTTGGGTCTTACTTCTGCAATGCATCCTCCTGATGCACGTGACTCCCTCTATTCAATTCTACCAAACTCTAAAACCATCCAAGCAGTGTGCTGTTGCTAGTGGTAGGGCAAATAGGATTTTAGGTTGTATCTACAGAAATATTGAATACAAATCTAAAGAGGTTATAATTTCATTGTACAAGTCACTGGTTAGGCTACATTTGGAATATTGTGTTT